TAAACTCGGCACTAGTATTATCATTCTGCCATCTCTCCCTCAAACACTAAACCAGGGTCTACAGAAGTGATCAAAATATGACAAAAAACCTTAGCGGTTGTGCTTAATTAAAAATTGATCCCTTATATAATGCAAAACAAAATGATGTTGTTGTTCTTCAGTGATTCCGTCTTGTTTTCCAGCACAAATACCTAAACATTCTAAAACCAAGAAACATTTACTGGAGAAGCAGAATGACATGATGGTTTTCTGAAAAATGAATTGAGTTTTTGCTTAAAACAAAAACATCTGCCAATGGGGTCAGAAAAAGAATCTTGTTTTCACTTCCAATTTAGGTTTGTTTGTTTTTTTGCTCCATTGGCACTTAATTTTGGTAGAGAAAAGAAAAAAAGTGTAGTATATAAATTAATAAAGAATAAATAAACTATAATGACTAACTAGAAAGCTCATTATTATTTATTTATAATGTATTTGTTTCTTTATTTTTGAACTTTAACTAAGAAAGCCTCTGAGATTAAAAAATTAAGAACTTTTTACAGGTGTCTTTGTTAATTGGCAGGAAAATATATACACAAAACAAATATCATGCATTAAACAACGTCAAAAACATCTGCAATGCGAGAATTCACTCACTTTCAAATGTTTCCGGTTAAAATTCATATATTTCTATGTAGTATTCATGTGGATTTTTAACTTTTCTTTGTTCGTTGTAGTACCTGTGGTTTTCCACGAGGTGGCGCCACGTTCAAACAAGCGTATTGTGTTTGGTCTCTTCTAGTTTCTCTGTTCAGCTGAATCTAGCCTAGTGCTTTACTGACACGGTAACATTAGCCGATACAGACTACAGAGCAAGAGAAACAGCGTTTGAAGAAGAAACAACAGTAACCACGGCATAACAGATGAACAGAGTTTTCTGCACTATAAGAACGAGTATTATTTGATATTGCTGTAGTAATGTTAATTGATTGATTGGCTTGCTCTTAGTGTTCAGTTCTCTGCCCTCATTAGTCTGCTCTCCGTTTCACCACATTCCCATCTGAGCTGAGTTTGTCTGGGGTTCTGCAGTAAGGGATATGTCGGAAAGATCGTATTTGTGACCCTGGACCACAAAACCAGTCATGAGGGTCAAATTCAGGAAACTGGATTTTCTTTTAAACCTATTTTCCGAGCAGCCCGGTCATGAAAATGCGTATAAATAGTACGCCAAATAAAAACTGAAAATCGTGGTGTTATACGCAGAAATTGAGTTTGGCGTGCATATGATACGCATCTAACCCCACACCCCTAATCCTACTCAATGCGTAGCATATGCACGCCAAGTCGATCTCTGCGTGTAAACTACGCCAGATCGAAACATGGGCTGCTCGTGCTATTGATACACACTTTCATGAGATCGGGTTGAAAACTGATAAAAGCTTATAGAATTTCCAAACGATTTTTAAACATGTTTATAATAAAGTAAGCTGTGTGTACAAAATATGATAGAAGGCTTCTGCACAATAGCGACAAAACGATGAATAAACTTACAGAATTCGAATCTTTATTTGTCATTTTGTAGATGTAAAGTTTTAAAAAAATCGTTTTGAACTTGATGTAGCTGCACGTACAATCAAATTTAACGCAGTCGTAATAACTTCTTCCCAACTTGTAAATACAAACTTCCCAAGATCTTAATGCACCGTATGCTTGTCTAAAATTGTGGTCACATTAACGAAATTGTCTGTGGCTGAAGTCTATTGTGTAACAGTGCAGCGATGTATTTTTTTCTTCTGTTGGTCAGTAAGGCCAGTTCTAATGAGCAAGTGAACCCAAAGCGAAATGTGCATGTGGAAAAGTTTCGCTCCTGCGGGACATTCCCAAATGCGTTCCTATTGAAATGTCTGCGAGAATTCGCCGAAGAACGGTGCACGTGACCGCACCTTATACGCAGTTCAGAGAGTGAACTTTTCCGTTTTTTTTTTATTTGCGAATCAAAGCAGGTGAGTAAGGTTTCTTGATGCGGGTCTGAACTTCTGCATCCCGCAGGTGTCTCTCTATGAATGAGGGCTTTTTCCGTTTCCATGGTAACAAGCATCTTGCGTCCCTGGTGTCTCCGCGTGTGTCGCTCGTGTTGCGCGAGGAGCCGCTGTCAGAAGCCATGAGGGACCTGAGGGACGCATCCGGACGAGATGGAGCTCTAAATCGCCGCACATGAGTTTTATTTGGCAGGAAACAGAGTAAGACAGAAGGGCTTTCATACTGGCATGAAGGCGGAGATGCTGTCATCCGTGTCACGCCATTCTTTCATGAATGTCTTTTCCTGTCGAGTCCTGCATGCTGCATTCATCAAGCTTTCTCACACAGGTCTGTCAGATACTGTTAAAACTCATTTGACAGTCATATCACACACACACACAGATCTATGTAAATAATATTCATTATAATGACTACAGACCAACACGAACTTGCACATGCACTATTACTTTATTTATGAATCATTTTCCCATTTAGGTCATAGTTTTGTCAGATTAACTCACTTTTGCCGACACATATGTGACCCTGGAGCACAAAACCAGTCATAAGGGTCAATTTTTTAAAATTGAGATTTATGCATCATCTGAAAGCTGAATAAATAATCTTTCCATTGATGTGTGGTTTGTTGACAATATTTGAAAATCTGGAATCTGAGGGTGCAAAAAAATCTAAATATTGAGAAAATCATCTTTAAAGTTGTTCAAATGAAGTTCTTAGCAATGCATATTACTAATCAAAAATTAAGTTTTGATATATTTACGGTAGGACATTTACAAAATATCTTCATGGAACATGATCTTTACTTAATATCCTAATGATTTTTGGCATAAAAGAGAAATGTATAATTGTGACCCATACAATGTATTGTTGGCTATTGCTACAAATATACCCCAGCGACTTAACACTGCTTTTGTGCTGCGGGGGTCATTTGCTTATAAACATTTTTGACTACATGCACCACCTTTGACTTTGACTTTGAGACTTTATTTGAGACATGTAAAATAAATGCAATGTTTTCGTGAAGTGTTCTGCGCCTGGCGCCTCGTTCAGCGGCCGCTAGATGGAGATCAGCACTCTGACTGATATTTACTGAGAAAATCAGTTCTGAACATAATGTTAAGCGCATAACATTTTAAGAGCCGTGTGCGAGGGAAAATACTACTTCCGTCGGATTTAAATGTGTGTGCAGCGTGTAGCTAAATGATGTGCTTTATTCTCAATATCAGCCTCTGAATTCATCTAGTAGTTTAACTGCTGAAAGTTTAACTATTAACTGTAAAATGGGCTACTTATATTACACTGAATAAAATGATTCATTGAATTTACAAAAATGTTTAAGGTAAGCGGTTGCAATCCGTTTATTTTAGCTGCATTTAAATAAACAAATGTAGTTGACTAACTTTCAAAAAACAAAATTTTGTATTAAATGTAGCTAAAATAAATTGTTTGCAGCTACTTACCTTAAAAAAAGCTAGTATCATTTTTTTCAGTGTACATATTTCATGGTAATATATTGTATTATTTGATCGTTTTATATTAAATGGCAGCCGTAACATTTGTGTTGATTAAATAGACTATTTAGTGAATAAAGCAGCAGAATCTATATTTTCTGTTCTGACGCTTTGGTAAAAGCAGGACAGAAATATGTTCAATTATACTGGATTAGAAGAAAAAAAAACCGATAGAAAACGACTTTAAATGTATTCCTAGTGCGATTAGGTTTGTGAGCAAAGAGGAGAGATTGATAAACATTGTTTTACTTTTTATTAATCTATAAATCTAATTCAGGCTAAACTGGAACTTCACAACGCGATAAAAACACAGTATGACGCTTAAAGTCCAACACTATGAATTATTACTTTTTTAAAAAAAATTTGCATTACATTTGATAATTTCCCATCAACGCTCAACAAAGCGGATTGGTTTATTAAATAGGCCACATTAACCTCAGTTAATAATTTACAGATAGCCGTAATATAATAAATTAAAATTTAAACAATATAATACCATAGCTTATATATATATGAATCTAAACCAGAATGTCAGAGCCACGAAATTATTTAATGTGACACTTCCTTATTTATGCAGTATTTGAGGAAAGTCTGCCGCAATCTGCTGCATCACAAATAAGAATCAAGAGAAGAAAAATATGTGTTTGTACATTACTATATCCGATTTATTATTATTATTATTATTATTATTATTATTATAACAACTAATGCTGTTGCTGTTAAATTGAAAATTAAGACAAGAGTCGCATATTCATAGGCTATAGCAAATTCATATTTTTATGGTACCGTTTTTTGTCCTAATTCATTTTAAAAGCCCAAAACGTGTTTAAATGTGACGCGGAGTCGAAATTAGTTTGACGAAACATTTCGATCTTATTTTTAATTAGCGACTTTATTTTTGTGGAATGAACGAAATCTGTTCAAACTCATATGCGGTTTGATTGTGTCAGTGCTTTTCATAATCACATTTAAAATTATTAATCAAAAGATCAAAACAATTCACCATATATTAAATGACACAAGGCCACAAACACGACCGGAGCGCCAGAAATGAATTCCTAAAATATATGAACAGTGGCAGCTCTTTAATCTGAGAGAAATATGGCTACTTACATCCATTTGATCCGAGTGACCTGAGAATAAAATCACGCATAAACGAGATTTATGTGATGTCACTGAACACTGAATATTATAGAGTTGCCCTTATTTTGCTGCTTATAAATAACCGATGCGGGAGATTGCGTCTTCGGTAATCGCGTTAAAAACCCGTTTTGCGTTTGCGCAGTTTTTGCGTCTGTTCGTGCTGCAGGCCTACTTTTTCATCAACTCGCATTTAGTCGCGACTGTCATTTAAAAGGGTCACTGATATCTTTTCATTGAGGGCTGCATCTCTCCGCGGGTGTTTAAGGGTTAACGGGTTAGGTGTTCTGAAATATGTGGAAGCTCCACGCAGCCAATCAGAAGTTGGAAGCGCTGTCTGGCTGGCCAATGGGAGTGCGCCGAGGGTGAGCCGCAGGTGAAGCGGATAGCAGCGCAGTGTTCGTTCACACTCGTGTTCTGGCGTCGATGCGCATCCAGAAAAACTCCCTTCACGCGGGCCGCGATGCGAGCGATCTGCCGCCGCGGGGCTCAATCTCCATCTGATCCGGATCTGGAGCCTAACCCCGCTGCTTTATAATCAACACTGACTTTTCCTGCTTAACATGTCTGTGCGCAGTAACTCTCTGATGCCGTTCTCCATTCAAGCCATTCTGAACCGAAAAGAGGAGTCTCGACATTTGAACGATCTGGATGTTTGTTTCTCCAAAAGCGCTTGTTGGAAAATCTTCGATGAAATGGATGGAGCGGAGAGGAGCGACGAGAGAGAGCACAAGAACTACGACTCGGACTCCGGGCTGAGCGAGGACAACGACAGTAAAGCGCAAACCGACGCAAAGCCCGAGAAAGACGCAGATTTAGCGGACGACACGGATCCGGAGTGCACGGCCGCGGAGCGCTGCAAAGACTGTGTGTCCGGTGAGTAACAGCTCAAACTCTGGCACTTCAGAAGTTTGATTTGAGTTTGGAAATACGTGAGCTCCAGATGTTCGCTGGAGGAGCCAACCGTTCAAGAACTGAACTTCATCAAACAGAAAGTGTAGTATTATGATACCGCGCAAAATATGGTACCAAGCACGTTTATTTATTTATTTTAAGTATAATAGTAATTAAGTATAATATGTTTATCGCACATGTGCCAATACCGTGGTGTTCTATTATGTAGCTACTTTGGAGGCAATTGTACAAAAAGCGCATGCTTTCAAAAACGTGATCGGAGAAAGCTGTATATGTATATAAACGTGTATATAGTGTCAAGGTTCAATTAAAAAAAAAAAAAAAAAAAAATTGGCACTACCATGCACCTTTTTTCTAAGTATAGACTAATAGACTTTTTTGTTTATCGCACATGTGCTGATACCATTGTATTCTATTGTGTACTTTAGAGGCAATTGTACAAAAAGCGAATGCTTTCAAAGAGGTTATCAGAGAAATATGTATATGTTTATGAACGTGTAGGCCTATATGTATATAGCATCAAGGTTCCATGTAAAAAAAATGGCATCTAAGTATAGTAGACTTTTTTTTGTTTATCGCACATGTGCTAATATGGTATTTTAGTAGGCCTGTGTACTTTAGAGGGAATTGTACAAAAAGCGCATGCTTTAAAAAACGACATCGGAGAAATGTGTATATAAACGCGTGTATGTAGCCTATTATCAAGGTTGAATGCACTTTTTTAAATAAGTTTAATAGACTTTTATGTTTATCGCACATGTGCTAATACCGTGGTGTTCTGTTATGTCGCTACTTTGGAGGCAATTGCACAAAAAGCGCATGCTTTCAATAACGTTAGAGAAAGCTATAAACGTCAAGGTTCCAAGTCAAAAAATGGCTCTACCATGTAGACTTTTTTGTTTATCGCGCACATGGTAATACCATGGTATTCTATTATTCTATATCTATTCTATTCTATTATTATGAACTTCAGAGACAGTTAAACAAAACAGCGCATGCATTCAACGCCAGTAAAGCGTTTGGGATTGTTTTGCAGACTGTAAGGCCGGCGAGGAGAAGAGAGATCAGCCCAAGCAGCGGAAGAAGCGCTCTCGCGCCGCGTTCTCTCACGCGCAGGTGTTCGAGCTCGAGCGACGCTTCAATCATCAGCGCTATCTGTCGGGCCCGGAGCGCGCGGACCTCGCCGCCTCTCTCAAGCTCACCGAGACGCAGGTCAAGATCTGGTTCCAGAACCGACGCTACAAAACCAAGCGACGCCAGATGGCCGCCGATCTGCTGGCCTCGGCCCCGGCGGCGAAGAAAGTGGCCGTGAAGGTGCTGGTGCGGGACGACCGGCGTCAGTACAGCCCCGGAGACCTGCTCCGTCCGCCGCTGCTCTCCTATTACTACCCCTACACATACTGCCTTCCCGCCTGGAGCCTGTCCTCCGCATGCACGGGAAGCCAGTGACACCGGGACTTACACTATTTATTCTACTAAAGACATTCGTTAACTGAACACACCAGGCCCGGTTCTGCGCGGTGCTGGAGGGTGCTCAAACGAAATCAATAGCACTCTCAGTTAAAGCTGCATTAATGGCATTTCATGCAAATTTTGGCAAACTATCCAGTGTGTTATGGTTTGCGGCGTTATTGCAGCGTTGAGCAGTGCAGCCGATCACACACATATCTGTTGATTTCTTCAAGCCAACAGCCAATCAGAGGCGTTTATGTTCGAATCCACTCACCGCTCAAAGTTTGTGTTCATTATAACGAAGTGTAAAGAGACTCATTGTGCGGCGTAGAGAACTTCAACTTTGTGAGATCGCGATTAATTAAGAGTGATTTTTAGAGATTGTAAACAGCTTGTTGCGCCATAGCAATGGACGGCACCTTTATAAAACCTTTATAGATATATTAAGGTTAGAGCACCCTCAGTGATTTGATTCTGGAGCCGGGCCTGGAGCCCACCGACCGAGGAGCCAAAACCGGGAGATTTATTCACAGAACCGCATTCGAATTCGGGCCGAAACTGACTTTTTTTTCTTCTGACTAGTAGGCTACTATATGAGTTTTACTGCCTATAAAACACCATTAGGATTTTGTTTCAGAATGTATGGAAAATATGTCGGTTTTTAGCAAACAATCTTTCTTCTGGTTGGAAAACAGCACTTGATGTCGTTACTCTGCGCGTTTCTTGCTATCGGTAAGACTGACACTTTCCCCCACACTTCAAAATGTTAGCAAAATACTGGTTTGTTGGACTCAATAAGTGAGCAGTGAAGTCTCAGCGTTTACTCGACTTGTATGTATTCATATCAGTGTAACGTGTTTTGTTTAATGAAGAAGAAATCAAACATTAAAACGTATGAAGCATAATTTCAGTCGTGTTTCTCGCATTTTATGAGCTGCCAGTCCTCAAAGTAAAAGCATGAAATTAATGACCCGTGACATGAGCCCACTGGAGTCATTCAATTACAGTGTAAGCTTGACACCAAACAGCAAAGAAGAGTCACAAAATAATCATTAAATCCACATTTGGAAACAGTGTAAATTCTATGCAAAAACTCTGGTTTCATTTACGTTGCTCTGAGCAAAACCGTAGTTCATCTGCGATCCAGTGTTTTGATGCATGCATGTTATTTTAGGCTGTCATGCATGTGCTTTAAAGTTGAATCCATATTTCAGATCAACATATACAGCTTCTGTCCACATTTAGGTGACGCATTTTAGCCTCGTTGATATGTATTGGAGACAAATGCATAATAAAATTACTGAAATTCGTAACAGCAATAAAGCCATTGAGATTATAAACAATGCAAACAATAAAATCAAACTGTACAACCATCACCGCCCTGTTCAAAAATAATAATTCTGACACTAATAATATCGGGGTTATGATTTAATGTTTTGTCGGGCGTTTCAAACGCTTTGTTTTATGATCAGAACAAGCCTAAACTCATTACATAATAGGCTACCCTTGTCGTACAGAGCTAATTCTATTTAACATTTGTGTATATAAATGTATGAATTCTATTTCAATAAAAATATTAGCATAGCTTGCATTTCGCTTTGTTTATTGTGGTTGTTCTGACACACCGAATTATTCTCGGAACTGAGTGATTAGTAGAATAAACGTCCTTATGCAAGATATGCTTTAAGCGTCTGTTTAATCATAAATCCGACAGATGCGATTCTTCGGATACTGCTCTGTGGTGTTTTCTTGCAAGCTAGAAATGAAAAGACAAGCAGCTCTCCATCACTCTTCAAACAGTAAGACTATAACTGCAGCAGTGATGCTCTGCTTTAGGACTGTCTCTCAGGATGAAGATGAGCTCGTCTCAGGATCAGTTCTGATGGATGGAGAGGTGAAATGCACATTCACACCTGTGCTTTCTGAGCACCACGGCATTGTATTTCATTTTTATTTCATGTGCAAAGAGTGTGACGGCGCAGTTAACATCAGATATACCCGAGCTGTTGACATTGTGTCATTTTAGTCTTTGGGCTCAAATGAGGTTTTGTGAGGAGAAATACCAAAAACAATCAAATTAACTAATAATTAACCCTTTCTGCGGATATGCCAAACGCCAGTAAAATCATATTTTTCAATACAAAATAGTGTGTCAGCCGGCTACATTTTAAATGCATGCGATTTGAACTGAAATAACTCTAGAAATATATATGGAAGCCTGTGTGAGCGCTTTAAAAACATCGAATATTCATCACAAGTCATCTTTGTTGGCAGTTTTAATGTGTGAAATAATGACAGATTTACGACGAATGCTGGGAAATGTGAGGAGTATTTGACATTAATGCCTTGCTGTTGGTTTTGAATCCATTGATGCCAATGAGAGGTTATTATGAGGCCCTCATGGAGCAACGCCAGCAGTTTCGGTAGAGTTAAAAAAAAGCACAATACCATTCTTAACACAGCGTTTTCCTTAAGCGTGTGTCTGTTTCGGGTTCTTCAACATAAGCGCAGCGAGTCCGACGGTTCAACTTTCCGGGAAAATGTGTGTAATGACCAAGAAAAAAGAGAGGAGAGAGAGCAGCTTTAGTCTGGAGCTCAAACGGGCTCGCTGGAGCTGATCTGGAAATCATTCGCAGATGGAGCTTCATTTTGCCACTCCAAACTCTATTGGCATTGAAATGATCACAAGCACACACACACACACACACACACACAAAGCTCCAGTGGTTCAGTTCTTGTCTTTGGAGATTAATGTTTCATTACAAGCTTTTAATATCGATTCATTTGTTTGCAAACAACCAGTGCATAGAATTAGAAAATGAAAAGCCGCTTTTCGGTGACGTCATGATGTCGAACCCTAACTGATTGGAATGGAAGCTTTTATTTGGAAGAGGGCAAGGAGTTTTGACGTTGTTATTGTGTGTCGTCGCGTCGTGTAATGAATCGCTCAGTTGTGTGTTCAGTGTCGTGTCATTTGTCATCTAGCCTGCTATAGTCCATATTTTGACAGGATTTGCAACTTTAAGGCGTCCTCGCAATTTCCCAGTGCATAAGTGCTTTTTTACTATCCCGTGAATGCCTGTATATTTTTGGCCAAATTTTGGACGTCAAGGACGATTTGTTTCTACACGCTAATAGAGCGCCTGTCACACATAATGGCGCGTAATCAGGGCAATCATTTTCCCGCGCAGAGACATGAGCCAGTTGTTGTTCTAGATCAAGTTTCACGTTTAATGGAAGAAAATGGGCATTTCAGACACTTCGCTCTTGCGGCTCACAGTCGTCTACCTGCGAGACGTTCATTTCGCTCCTAATTGAATTATCCTCTATGTTCTCCGCTGTAAGTCCGCGCACGTGCTCCTGCTCGGTTCTCTCGGTGATCCGGCAGATGAAGGGTGTGTGATGTGAAGCAGATGTGTTTAACCTCGCGCCTCCAGCAGTTAACATGTCACAGCATCACGTCTAATTATCACGTCTAATTATCACGTCCAATTACACTCCAGCTTGACTTTTGGGATGTTTCTGCAATAAATGGAATATAGAGCGCCCCGAAAACATTTCCTTGCTTTTAAATAAAAAATTCTACTCTATTATTATTATTATTATTATTATTATTGTTGTTGTTGTTGTCTTAAAATTTAATGTAGTCTAATGCAAATTATGCTCTACGGTAATTTAAAACAATACACTAAGCTATTATTATAATTTTTTATCATTATTATTATTATTATTATTATTACTATTGTTTTGTCTAAGCACGCATGTAATGCCGATTATGCCTAGTAATAATTTTAAATAGGCTAATACACTTGGGTCAATAATAATAATAATAATTTTTATCCATTATGTGTAGCGATTTTTCTCTGTTCTGGTCTCGCTCTCTCTCTCTCTGTGTGTGTGTGAGTGTGTGTCTACATTTGTGATAATTATAAAAAGTGCAATTATAAATTTGGTGAGACAAAATAGCATGTTAATGCTCAGCTGCATAAATAAAAACAAAAACAATAGATCACTAAAAACGTGCTGTCGCGCAGTTTAGACGCTTAATCTGAATTTAAGTTTATTTTTAACTCAAATCTCTCGTGTGTGTTAACATTACACATTCAGGCCTATTTATGTATTTATTTGTTAATGAAACCGTTATGTTCCTATATTTAGTGTAAACGTATTCATATTATTATTATGCATGCATTATATATTTTAATTTTATGTGATTGCAATTAATTTCTTTGGTTTACTACGGTCGGCCTACATCAGTGTACAATGTTGTTTGAGGCCTATCACGTGCACAGTCGGCCAATATATATATATTCTCTTTAATAGCTATAGGTTAAATTTGCAATAATCAAAATGCATAGCGTTTATTTTGTGTGCATTGTCTCGGATAAACTCTCAAAGCAAGCGAATATTTCTTATGTAATAAATAAAGTGGAATAGTGTTCCGAGCCTCTCGATCATGTGCGCTCGCGCTGTTCCGCTCAGAGCTCGTGGAGATGCAGTCGTGTTCTCACAGTCTCTCCGGTGTCTGTCTGTCTGTCTGATGATTTATTTCAGTCTAGAGATCCCGGGAGCTGCATTAGGTCAAACTTCTCCATGACTTTATGAAAACTCTGCAGCAGTTCCTCTCCGAGCTGCTGGTTCGGCTCACTCTGAGAGCGCACAGCACGCTGAAGCCTCGCGTCTGAGATGCGCTGATGATGCGCTGATGAATGAAGGCTGGAGAAGCTGGGCTCTGGGGTGAAGCTAAACGCAGAGCTGCGTGACACGCGCTGTTTTTGTCTGTTCTAGCAGAGCTCGGGTCACTGCTGTACAGCTGCAGGTTTCCAGCCAGATGCACTCTCAGATAACAGATGAAATAGACACGCACGTGATATCTGATCTCTGGGCTGGAGACATCTATGAAAAGATGATTCTCAAACTAGGTTTGGAAACATTTAGACGCAAACAAATGTGTTGAATTAGCCATTTATTTTGTTGTGTAATTATAGCCTAGTTTATATCATAAATGGCTTACTCGTTATAGTTGAGTCAGATTTTTACATATAAACTAAATCACGTTTCAGGTGTGACATCAGTCTGGTGCAGTGAGATATTAGTGAGTTAAGTGTGTTATTTCTGATGATATGCTTTCTGTAAGGAGGAACTGTGTGTGTGTGTGTGTGTGTGTGTGTGTGTGTGTGTGAGAGAGAGAGTGTGT